CTGAAAGGAGTAGGACTTGAAACACACTGCAACCTTCAATATGGATTACATCTCAACATCAAGACACAAAAATTCTCACCACCGGACCCATAGGCCACATCAAGATAGATGGAAAAAAGACTGAAGCTGTCCACAACTTCATCTTAGTTGAATCTACAATCAATACTCTTGGAACCAGCATTCAGGAAATCAGGAGATGTATTGCACTGGGAAAGTATACTATCAGGGGTCTCTCCAAATTACTGAAGAGCAATGATGTTAGTTTGAGGGCTAAGGTGCACCTGATTTAGACCATGGTCTTTTCAGTCACTTGGTACACTGCTGAACACTGGATAATAATGCATAAGGATGAAAGAAAAAAATGATGCCTTTAAATTGTCGTTTTGTAGAAGAGTACTGAATATCTCATGGACTGTCAAAAAAGCAAACAATATGTCTTGGAGAAGGTGCAGGCAGACCAGAGTGTTCTTAGAGGCAAGTATGCCCAAGCTTGGTTTCACATACTTAGGGCATGTTTCTAGGAGAACCTGTTTCTTGGAGAGAGACATTATGCTTGGAAAGGTGGAAGGCTAGTCAAAGAAAGGAAGACCTTCAACCAGGTAGACTTACACAATGACTGCAACAATGGACTCAAGTGTGTCAGAGGTAGTGCAGATGGCACAGGATAGAAGAGGTTTCAGATCTGTTATTCATAGGCTCACTGTGAGTCATGCTTGGCTCACAGAATCTAACAACAATAGCAACAACATCATTTACTAAAGAGATCCGTATTTCCCCATGGAATGGACTTAACTCCCATATTAAAAATTCCATATGACACAGCTATTTCACTACTTGGAATATACCCTGAGAAAATTAGATCTGAGGCACAAATGGAGACTTTACACCAATGTTCATAGCACCATTATTCACCATCGCAAGCCCAACTGTCTAAACACAATAGAATTGATTGAGAAAGTGTGGTACTTTCACACAATGTAATACTATGCAGCATGCAGGAGCAATGATTTTGTAAATTATTACCTAACTTGGGAGGGACTGAAGAGCATTAGATGAACCAACTCAGTCCTACAAGGACAAATATTGCACAAAACCGTTATTGTAGAATGAGAATTAGGAGCCAAGAGGGGTGGAGGGTGGAATCAGAGGGATGAGGATGTGCAGGGGGAGGAAGGGATTACTCATGAGGTTGTACAATTTGATGGGGAGGGGGTGAGAAAAGTTAGAAGAATCTGTTCTGGAAAATAATGTATTTAAATTTTATAAATAAACTAGTATAATAAGAAAAAATTTTAAAAATTATGTTTAGGTTTTAGATGTAGATTAGATGTACATTTTAGATGTAGATGTGTAGGTTTATTTCTGGACTCTCAAGTCTATTCCATTGGTCTATTTGTCTATTAGAGAGTTCTGGTGGCCTAGAGGGTAAGGAGTTATGCTGCCAACCCAAAGGCAAGCAGTTCAAATCCACCAACTTCCCAGTGGGAGAAAGATGGACAATCTCCCATATTATTTACTGCTTCTGGAAACTCACTGGAGACTCAGTTATGAGTTGTTCAGATTCAATGGCACATAACAACAACATCGTGTGCCTATTATTGTATTAATACTACTGTTGTTGTTGTTGTTATGTGTCGTCAAGTCATTTGCAACTCATAGCAACCCTATGTACAACATCCCTAAACCCTGCTCTATCCTGTGCCAACTGCATTGCCTCTGACACACCCATCCCGATTACCCTAGTCACTGAATCAATTCACCTCATAAAGGGTCTTCCCCTCCTGTGCTATCCCTCTACCCTAGCAAGCATGCCCTCTCCAAAGATCTGTCTCTCCTTACAACATGTCCAAAGTATGTCAGACGAAGCCCCAGAATCCTTGCCTCCAAGGAGTACCCTGGTTTAACCCTCTCTAGGATGGACCTGTTTGTTATCTTGGCAGTCCATGGAACATTCAATACTCTTCTCCAGCACCACAGCTCAAAGGCGTCAATTCTCTTTCTATCTTCCCTAGTCATTATCCAACTCTCTGATGCATAACAAGTGATTGCAAAGACCATGGCCTGTATCAGGCACACCTTAGTTTCTAGAGAGACACCGTTGCTCTTGAGTACTTTAGAGAGGTCCCTAACAGCAGATTTTTCCATCCCAATACATTTTTTTATTTCCTGGCTGCTGGTGCCAAGAGTGTTGACCGTGGAGCCAAGCAAACTGAAGCTGTGAACACTCAATCTCTTCGCCATCCATCCTGATGCTACCGATTGGTGCAGTGGTGAAAATCTTTGTCTTCTTGACATTGAGCCTCAGCCCATACTGAAGGCTGCAGTCCTTGACCCTCTGCAGTAAGTGCATGAGGTCCTCCTCAGTTTCATCGAGCAGAGTTGTGTCATCTGCATAACGCAGATTGTTGATAGATCGTCCACCAATCCTAACGCCACACTTCTCTTCATAGAGCCCAGCCTCTCGGATAATCTGCTCTGCATACATGTTGAAAAGGTATGGAGATAGGACACATCCCTGGTGTAAACCCTTCCCAATTTTGAACCATGCAGTGTTGCCCTGCTCTGTTCTGATGACTGCCTCTTGGTCCAAGTATAGGTTTCGCATTAGGACGATTAAATGTTCTGGGATTCCCATTCTTCTCAGAGTCAGCCATAGTTTGTTATGATCCACACAGTCAAATGCCTAGGCTAGTTTATTATAGATGTATAGATATTTTAAAATGAAGACATGAGACCACTTATTTATTTATTTTATATTTCAATGTGGCTTTAGCTATTCAGAGCCTTTTCCCAGTCCATAGAAAGTTGAGAATTTGTTGGGGTTTTTTCCATTTCTGTAAACAAGGCTGTTGAAATTGAGAATGTGTTTTCTCTATAAATTATTCTGGGTATTACTGACATCTTAACAATATTAAGATTTTCAACCAGTGAATAGAATATGGGGCATCTTTACATTTATTTAACTCATCTTTGATCTATCTCAGCAATGCTTTATTATTTCATTTTTCCTTTATATTCCTAGTTAAATTTATGTCTAGGTACCTCATGCCCTTGATCGTATAGTAAATGAAACCATGCCCGTTTCAGATTCCTCACCATCAATGCATAGAAACCCAACTAATTTTAGCTATTGTTGACCTTGTACTCTGTTTGGTACAAATTCCTCTATTAGCTTTAAAAGTTTTCTTAACGAATCATTGGTATTTTCTACATTGACATCCATATCCTCTATAAGTAAATATTACTTTCTTTTCCAATCTGGACTTATTTATTTTTCTTGTCTTATTGCTCTGGCTGGAGAGACTTTTCCTTTCCTTAGTAAAAGTCTGTTACCACTGCACAGAGCTCATACAGCTCCCGATCATGTAGAGAAATATACTGAGGTGAATAACAGACCAATTTAAGTGTTTGCCCTGAGCTGTCCTCTGCTTGCCTCCTGGGTCCTTCACTTTTTTGGTTCATCAATTCCCTAGGCTTATCTTCATATCTTGATGTAACATTAGTATTTTACTTTACTGGTTTACCAATCTTGGCCTGTTCCCTTGGCTCCATACTCTAAAACGCAAAGATATACAGAGTTTCCCTGTGCCAAGTAATGTTTTAATAATTTTTAATGTGTTCATATAGTTAATTCTTATATACTATAACTATATGATATGCATTATCATCATTTCCATTTTATAGATGCCAAAACAGAGGCACACTGAAGTTAATAGTTTACAAAAAGACACAAAGCTAGTAAGTGATAGGTCTAGAATTTGAATCCAGTCTCAGCTGGTTTTAGAGACCATGTCCTAACCACTAACCTCCTCTGATTCTAAATGTCACTTGCATCCAGCAACATATTCTTCTCTAGTTTCAGCTCCAGACACCCCACAGTAGACCAAGCGTCTACTTTCCCCATCTTCCTCACTAAGGGAATCCAGGTTTCAGAATTCAAAATCCAGAGTTCGGTACTTTGGATCAAGTGTTCATCACAACTGCTTCCTGAGTGGGAAGAGGTGAGTCAATGAGTGAGGGTTTCCAACCCATGAGCAGCAATCCCCATTGTGGTAGCAGTGACTATTATCTAATTTCCAGGAGTAGGTTGAGTTTGGTCCTCCAGCTCAGTGCTACTGGGTTACACTCCATGCTCCATAGACATTCCCCCCCGCCCCCCACTGACTTTTAAGTGCCCTCGTGACAGCTCTCACTTCCCTGGCTCATCACCAGGAAGAGACTTCCTGCACATGTTGACTTCCTGAGCATGTGCCCAGCTTGCAGGAAGGAGGGTGCTCAGGAGGGGTTAGCAATCTCAACATCAGAAGTCTAGTAGTAGTTACTGTACTTTTCAAACTTAACCTACAGATGTCTGGAACATCTCAGTGCGCATCGTTGGAAAAGTAGATTTTGAGGGTGAATTTGAGTAGAATCTAGGTTCTTTGTTGGGACAACTGGGAGGCATCAGATAGGGAACAGAGTTTACTGGTAAAGGAGAGAGATACTCACTGTCTCATGACATGTATAGGATGTCCACCAAAAGGCCCAAAGATAGCGTTCAGCCAGTCCTGCCGTGGGAATTAAAGTGAGTGGTCACTGGCCTCAACTTAAACAGCACAGGAATGAAGACTGTCTAGATATGGGCACTACAGCTGGGCTCCGGTTCCTGGATGGCTCTTTTGGTGACTCAGTTTCTCTTTCTATGCTCAGCTTAGGAGGCAGTGATATGCATCATGTATCTCTGTGTGTATACATACACCAACTCATAACACATCTGAAAAATTACCAGGCTGGGCTCTCAAAGACTTAAAGCCAGTTATCTTGTGTGTATGCTTGAATATGTGTGTGTGTGTGTGTGTGTGTGTGTGTGTGTGTGTGTGAGTCTTTACTGAGCCCAGTGTGAACACTCAGTCTTCTGTACCCAGATTTTCCAACAGCCTAATCATGGACTCACCTCTGCTTGTTATACAGGGTTTGAGAACAACCGTTTGTGCTTAAAGAAGATGTAAGAGAGTACTTACGGTCATTGCTGAAGTCATCCACTAATATGATTTCCTGGATCAGATGCATAGGGGTGCGGTTTAATACACTGTGAGATGAAAGAGGAAACACATTATGACTTCCAGTGGCAAAATACATACATTAACCCCGAGTTTTAAATAGCATCACTGCATTTGAGGATGAAAACACAGATACATCAAAGGTCTAGAAATATCAAAGTCACATTGCTCATCTTTGAGGACCAAAGATGTAAGTCAAATGTAAGTCTGCTGCTCATGTGTGTCTCCTGGACACAAACAGATTCCTTTCCAACAATAGTCTGCCTCTTCCTGCCACCAGCTGTGATGCTCATATGCTTCCCCAGGGCTGACTGGTCTCTTCTTTGCTGTGGCCTGGAGTACAACTAGGCAGATAAAGAATGAGGTATGGGTATCAGGACACAGTGTAAAGAAGCCTCATGAACTCCAGGAGGCAGAGAGCCAACCAGTGGCATCAAGACTCATAACAACAGGTTGATCCAGGTTTCTGGACTTAAGTTTTTCTGACAACCTGGTTGGAGTCCCTGGGTGGTGCAAATGGTTAATGTACTCAGTTACTAACAGAAAGTATGGAGGTTCAAGTCCACCGAGAAACATCTCAACAGAGAGACCGAGTGATCTATAGTGAAAGGCCAGCCATCAATAACCATGTGGAATTCATGATACACATGGGGCTATGACGAGTGGGAGAAAAGTTAATGACTGTTTTTACCTCCCTGGGTCAGGAGGACAGTGCTGTTCTCTGTGGTGCCCTGTTCATTCATATTCCAGTCTTCTCCCTGCCCTGCCCCACTGCTCCATCCACAAAGCCCAGTTCAAATGTCTCTTCCTCTCTAAAAGCTTCCCAAGCTACTTAGTGAGAATTAATTGCTTCCTCCTCTGGGCTCCCTCAGCATTTTGTACCTGATGCCTCCTGTTACATTTATTGCTACTAGATTCTGAGGCTTGGCATTGCACTCTACCAGCCCACTGCTCCTTAGATGGTATTACCCCCGGGAACAGGGCCATTGTCAAGTCAATGCCACCAGAATACAGCACAGTGTCTTAGCTCATAAACACTCACTCGAGGGACCATTAATGCATATCTACTATGTGTTGTTGCTGTGTACCATCAAGTCAGAACTGACCCATAGCTGGCTTTTTAGCAGGCCATCTTTGTCCCACATAGTATGTACTGAAAGTGAGTAAATTATAAACAAATAATACATGCATGTTCTCTAAGTTTTGGAAGTTACTTAGTCTACTTTCTACAAACTATGGACTCATTCTGTTGTTTGCATGTCCTGTTGAGTTGCCTGCAACTCAAAGTGACCCTAGTTACAATAGCTCTGAATCCTGCCCTATCCTGAGCCAGTCTCACTGCCTGTGACACATTCATAGCCAAATCATTCTATTTTATCTATAAAATTGCAATCACTTGTTATGCATAAGAGAGTTAGACGATAACCAAGGAGGATAGAAGAACTGAAGCCTTTGACCTGTGGTGCTGGAGAAGAGTATTGAGAGTACCATGGACTGCTAGGAAAACAAACAGATTCGTCCTGGAGAGGGTTAAACCAGGTGGCTCCTTGAAGGCAAGGATTCTGAGGCTCCATCTAATTAACTTTGGACATGTTGCAAGAAGGAACCAGTCCTTGGAGAAGGACATCATGCTTGGGAGGGTGGAGGGACAGCGCAGGAGGGGAAGGCCCTCTATGAGGTGGATTGATTCAGTGACTGGGGTAATCGGGATGGGAGTTTCAGAGACAGTGTGATTGGCACAGGACAGAGCAGAGTTTAGGGCTGTTGTACTTAGGGTCGCTATGAGTCGCAAGCAACTCGACGGCACATAACAACAACAACAGCAGCATAAAATTGGATAAGACTCCTGGTATCTTCTTCACAGAGCTGATGAGAGAATGAGAGAATGAGAGAAGAAAACATATATAAACAACTTAGCACAATGTTTAACACTTTAGAAAAAAACCAAACTGGTTGCCATCAAGTCAATCCCAATGCACAGCCACCCTACGTGTCTCCAGGGATTGCCAGGCCCTTCTCTGGGGGCACTTCTGTGTGGATTAGAATTGTTGGCCTTTTGGTTAGCAGCCAGGGCTCTTAACCACTTGTTATTGTTATGCACCGTCAACTTTGAACTGACTCACACCTGACCCTCTTGCAGGTTTTCAGAGGCTGTAAATCAAACAGGAGATTTTCCCATTCTGTGGAGCAACACGTGGATTCAAACTGTGTGCATTTTGGTTGGCAGTGTACATCCTTACCCACTGGGCCACCTTAACCACTTAAGATGGTATAGTAGTAATGATTACTATTTTGTGCATCATCAATGATTTTCACATAAAAGGCAAGGCCTAGATTTCAAAGAGGACTCTGAGCCAGGCATGACCTGGAGCCTGGATCCCACCTCTCCTGAAGGCCCAAACTGCATGGCTCCTCACAGTAGACCATACTACTCACCACAGGATGCCAAAGCCCCATGAGTATGAGGAGGGGTCTCATTGAGGGTGCTGCAGGCTGGCCCTCCTCTCAGGATTAACATTCTGAGCTCTATTCTCAGTGGGCCCCTTCCATGTGGATGCAGAGACCCTCCGGGAGGAGAACTTGGCCAGGAGCCCAATTATTTACGAAGCCTTAATTCCTACCTGGGCAACTAGTGGAAGGCAGAGAATGATAGACACCCCACCAAAAAGACCTGAACCTGCTGTCAGGAGCATGAGGGCGGGGAGGGGCAGGAGGCTGCACCATAAACGGATCCATCCCAAAGACAACAGGGAGAATCAACAGCCAGCCCTCTAATCACAGAGGGAGGCGGAGGGAGACGGAAGGGGAGGAAAAAAAATCGGTGTGAAGAATAACCTCTAATGAGGTTTGATTACGACTGTAGCTGCATTCGATTCCCCCAAATCCCTGCCGGCTCTTTGAAATTCAAGAGTTCTCTTATGTGAACATCAAAAGGTAAACCGCATGCCGGTTTCTGTGCTGGGTGAACTGAGAGATGATTAGCGAATAAAAAATGTCCAGGGTTTAAAACAGAAAAAAAAAAAAAGGAATGAACAAAATTGTCAGCACTAAGTGCTAATTATACCATTTCCTGGTAACACCTGGCTTGTTTTTAGTCCTCTAATCAGTGCAATTGGAATGATGGTGAGGCCTTAGCAAAGTGGCTTTGGGCTGGGAGGCCTCAGATGGGGCTTGTGTTGAGGTCCCCTGAGGAGGCAGGAGAAGAAAGTCGTTGTCCTGGGACAGGGCCTGGCCCAGATGTTCATTTGAAGGGTCCCTGCCTTCCACTCCTCACACCACTCTCTTCTTTGCTCCATGAGTCCTTCTGCCAGAACATCCCACTCCTCCTCAGCCAAGTAAATCCTTCCATTTCCACAGGGCCTAGTTTTCCTTTGTTCTGCTTGCCCTGGAGTCAGTTCTTACTCACAGAAGCTCCACGTGTATCAGAATAGCACAGCTCCCTAAGGTTTGCAACAGTTCATTTTTCAGAAGTACATGGCCAGATCTCGCCTTTGAGGAGAGAGCTCTGGTGGCCCAGGGGGTTCTTAGTTTACACTGCCAACCCAAAGGCAGGTGGTTGAAATCCACCAGCAGACCAGCTGCTCTGTGGGAAAAAGATTGGCAGTTTCCAATGTGATTCTCAGCCTCTGAAAACCCGATGACCCTCTGGATGGACTTGAATCACCAGCCTTTCTATTTTTGTTGTTGTTGGGTACCATCGAGTCTAGTACGCCCCCTAGTGACCCTATGGACAACAGATCTGAACCCTGTGGTATTCTCACACTTCCTGACACACTAGAGCCCACTGCGGCAGTCACCCGCATCTATCCACCTGGTTGAGGGTCTTCCTCTCCTTCGCTGACCTTCTGCCTTTCAGAGCATCGTGTCTCTTTCCAAGAAATAACCCCTGTGAGATGAAGCTTTACCATCTTTGACTCCAAAGAGTGCTTTGGCTGCACTTTCTCCAAGACATATCTGTTTGTTCTTCTGGCTGTCCATGGGATGTTCAGCACTCTTCTCCAACACCACAGCTCAAAGGTTATTAGTTCTTCCATCATCCTTATCCATTGTCTAGCTCTCAGATGCACAGCCAGTGATCGGAAAAGACCGAGGCCTCACCTTTCCGTGAGCAGCCCAAAGCATGAATGGATTGCACCAGCCAAGGACTCCTCAGGCCTGGCCTAGAATAAAAACTGACAACTGACCCTCCACTGGGTTTTTGGGAGGTGGCTGCCCATCCTTCTCTCTCGGAGCTCTGATTTGAACAGCCCGAGAGGCACCACCATTGGATTAGCTGTACAACTCCCAACCCCGTAGGCCATCAGAATTCCTGGGCTAACGGTAAACACATGCATTTGCTTCACTTCACCCGCATGCTGGCTGTCTCCTGGCCGTCCTGACATGGTCTCAGCATGGAAGTGTGTGTTTGTGCCTGCTGACACACACCGGTCACACCACAGGGAAATTATCCTAGAACTGGATGTCCTGTATGCGGCTTACGTCTCTACTAGAAAGTGCCTACACAGGCAGCGCCGCCCCTCTGCGCCCTTCCTGCAGCCCCCCAGCCATGAAGCACGCGGAGGAGCACCCCAGAGGCGGTGCACAGTGCCGGCATGGAGGCCAGGCAGGCTCCTCCATCTGTGCCAGCGTCAACGACACATGGGTCCTCTGCGAACCTCACTTTTCTGCGGTAATTACATTTTTCTTGTAAAAGCAGGTAATATTAATACTTGACCTACTTCACAGGCTTTTGTGAGTACGAAATAGGGAAATGCATTTGAAATTGCTTTGTGAACTCCACAGAGCTGCGTGCAGGCAGGCTTTTATCAAACGCTCCATAAATACCGGGTGAATGAAGGGCTGCGGCTGGTTGGCGGCAGAGTCGAGTCATTCTGGAGTGAGACGGCCTCAGATTCAAGTGCGGTATCTGTATCCGCCATTCGCTCGCTGAGAGAGCTTCAGTAAGTATTTAACCTTCAGAACTACAATTTCCTCGGCTGCACAATGGAGATATTACTTCTTACCTCACAGGGAGGCTGCTGTGGCCAAG